ACAACCCGAGCAAAGGCAGAGGTCCCGGAAGCCCCTTACTGAGAAAAGTTTCGATGCTCCAAATCACATAGACATGGTTGCCTTCTCCTGCATCGCCCTCGAACTCGTTGACAACCACAAGCGGCTCCTGTGCCTTGACGGCCCCTGAGAAGATCAGATCTCTGGTCGAAGTCGGGTTCTCTGCAACAGTCTCGGCCGGATCGATAGCAAAAGCATCTAGGCCGACCTCGAGCTGTGGAAGGTATTGTTTGAGGCTAGCAGGTGAACAATTAGAGAGTCGGAGGACGATGCGGACGGTGCAGAACTCATCTGTATCCCGCTATAGATGAGTAAGAGACAGAGCTCGAGTTGGACGACAGGTCATAACATACCGAAGAAGAGAACGGAGCGTTGGGATATTTGCGAAAGTACCGAGGTCAGGTCATCTGCGCCTCCTTCCAGAGCAGACGTCAGAGCAGCCTCCAAGTCTACATCTGAAGCATGCGGGACAACTGTATCTAGAACAGCATGCCTGAGGAATTCCCCGGGGATATCAAGACTCGGCATACTAGCGGGGTGACAATGATCGCATAGTCCTCTACCGGGTATTGAACAAACAGTGATTGACACGCGACAAATCCACCGAGGGTCACAAACAAATCACCAATTAGACAGTCGCATGGCAAGCCAGGGACCGACAAGTGGAGGGAGGGATGGAGGCACTCCATGTTATTATGGGATGGACGGACGGACGGACCCTGGGAAAGAGTCGATGCAAACAGGACAAACACCCTTAGTGCAGGAACCCCGGAGGAGCTTCTGCGAACCACCGCCGCTCCGTGTTACTTTTTCTCGCCTTCATTCATCGCTGGCAACCGCAAGTCCCCTTCATCTTGGGAGCCTCTGCACTGACAATATGAATCCAATGAATGGTCCAGGCGGTGCGCCCGCCCTGTGGCAGGAGGCCCGCAACGCTGAAGGTCGCGTCTACTACTACAATGTTCAGACTAAAGCCACGCAATGGGCGAAGCCCGTCGAGCTAATGACACCGGTTGAGGTTTGTATACTCCTTTCTATCCCTACTCTGCATGTCTCAAGCTAATCTGAGACGTGTTACAATTCTAGCGCGCGTTGGCGAATCAACCGTGGAAGGAATACACGACGGATAATGGGCGGAAATACTGGTACAACACCGAAACCAAGCAGAGCACCTGGGAGATTCCAGATGCTTACAAAAATGCTCTGGCGCAGGCTCAGCCTCCTCAGCCTCCCACTGTAGCGTGAGTGGCGCGGTCGACTGTGTCCATGTATTTGTGAATGATGTGCTAACGTTTTCCTGAGCAGAGCTCCAACATTCGTTGCAGGTGGAGTCAGCTCGTTTCCATCGTACCCCCAGCAGAGAGAACGCGATGACTACGATCGAGGCTATGGCGATCGCCGTGGAGGCTATAATGCAATGGACACTAATGGTCTTGCAGCGGCACCCGTCCTAGGGAATCAGCAAGCTGATCCCGAATACGCTTCCCTTGAAGAAGCCGAGGGTGCATTCATGAAGATGCTGAAACGCCACAATGTGCAACCCGACTGGACTTGGGAGCAGACAATGCGCGAGACCATCAAAGATCCTCAGTATCGTGCCCTAAAAGACCCTAGAGACCGCAAAGCAGCCTTTGAGAAGTACGCGGTCGAGGTTCGCATGCAGGAAAAGGATCGGGCGAAAGAAAGATTTGCTAAGCTCAGAGCAGATTTTAATACCATGCTGAAGCGTCATCCTGAAATCAAGCATTACAGCCGGTGGAAGACCATTCGGCCGATTATTGAGGGTGAGACTATCTTCAGGTCCACAGACGACGAGGCTGAGAGACGCCAGTTGTTTGAGGAATACATCATTGAGCTCAAGAAGGAGCACGTCGAACAGGAAGCGGTGAAGCGCAAGGCTGCCATGGACGAATTGGTCAATATCTTGAAATCCTTGGACCTCGAGCCTTATACACGCTGGTCTGAGGCGCAGGCGATCATCCAATCCAACGACAAAGTCCAGAGCGATGATAAGTTCAAGACGCTTAGCAAGTCTGATATCTTGACCGCATTTGAGAACCACATCAAGGCGCTGGAGCGAGCATTCAATGATGCCCGTCAGCAGCAGAAAGCCGCGAAGGCCCGAAAGGAGCGCCATGCTCGAGAGCAGTACATTGAGCTTCTTAAGGAATTAAGATCACAGGGCAAGATCAAGGCCGGCAGCAAATGGATGAATATCTATCCTCTAGTTAACGAAGACCCCCGGTACCTTGGCATGCTGGGAAATGCTGGGTCGTCTCCGATCGATCTCTTCTGGGATGTGGTAGAGGAGGAGGAGCGGTCGCTGCGCGGCCCACGCAACGATGTCTTGGATGTACTTGATGTGAGAACCCCTCGTATTCCACCCTTGCAAACTCCGCTAACCTAGCTTAGGACAAACGTTTCGAGGTTGCGCCAAAGACCACCTTCGAAGAGTTCAACGCAATCGTATCCGCCGATCGCCGGACAGCGAACATTGACCCCGAAATCCTGCAACTGATTTTCCAGCGGATTCAAGAAAAGGCCATTCGACGCAACGAAGAGGAGAAGCATGCCGCAGATCGCCATCAGCGACGTGCCATCGACGCACTCCGCTCGCGCATCAAACGCCTTGAACCCCCTGTCAGAGCCAACGATACATGGGACCAAGTACGACCCAGGATTGAGCGGTTCGAGGAATACAAGGCCCTGGAAACCGACGATCTCCGCCAGGCGGCCTTCGACAAGGTGATCCGGCGCCTGAAGGAGAAAGAAGAAGACGCTGAGCGAGACCGGGAGGCCCGTGACCGAGATCGCGGCGGAAGCCGTCGCGACCACCATGATCGGGATCGGGATCGGGACCGTGAGCGCGACCGCGACCGCGACCGCGACCACCGCAGCAGTCTCTCCCACCGTGGCGAACGGCGAGGAGCATCCAGCCGCCTGAGCCGGACCCCGGAGCCCGACGCCTATGAGGCCGACCGCCGCAAAGCCCAGGCCGACCGCGAACGCTCCTACCGCAAAGCCAGCGGCCTATCGCCGGTGCGCGAGCGTCGCGAAGACCGGGATCGAGACCGTGAGCGCTACCGCGAGCGCGAACGGGATCGGGATCGGGATCGTGAGCGTGAGCGTGAGCGGGACCGCGACCGTGATCGGGACCGCGACTGGGACCGGGACCGCAGCGCTCGCTCCCTGAGCCACTACGACCGCGAGCGTCGCGATCGCGAAGAGGAACGTGAGCGCCTCTACCGCACCCGCGGCGACCCTCGCGGCAGCCGTGACGAACTGGACTACGGCGCCGACACGAAGAGCACCGCCAGCACCGACCGGCGGCGCAGACGGGACAGTGACGCCGAGAGTGTAGCCAGTCGCTCTGCCAAGCGGTACCGGCGGGAAAGCCGAGAACGCGATCGCAGCAGAGGTGGTGTTGGTGCTCGCAGGGGAACCGCAGGGGAGAGAGACCGGCGCGAACGAACCCCCGTCGTCGCCGGCACAGGCGCCGCTGCGGCGCCTGCTTCGGCCGTCCCAGGTCCTGCAGCAGCCGTGGCGGAAGAAGCCAAGAAAGAGGAGAAGGCAGTTCATTCCGGTAGCGAGGAGGGCGAGATCGAAGAAGACTAAGCTAGGTACCTAGCCAGCTGGTTTACGATTCTGGTCCCGCAATCCTGGTCAATGACGACTACCTCGACAAATCGCCATTCTGGCAGGGTTCCTTCCCTTTTTTTTTGCCTTTACCTCCCCTTCCCGAGGCTTAGACAAATTACAGCCAACTTCATGTCATTTTTCTTCGTATTGACAAGGATTGTACGGATGTTGTGTCCTAAATTTTGTATTCTAGCGTAGGTTATATAGTATCAAGAGCGCTCTTCAAAATCTACTGGAGTTGAGGTGAGGTGTATCCTCGAGACTATAATTTGGTCAAATTTTCAGAGTCAAGTATAGTCAACGAAGAACCAAAATGAACAATATTGGCTGAGGAAGGTCTGATTTACTGCACAGCGTGGAGGGTAGTCCACCGTAGAAGTCGGAGCAGAGTGCATTGAGTGGTCCGGAACAGCCGATCTATATTTCCACTATTTCCGAGCCAACAACCACCAAGGATCAATCTGCGATTTGCCTCTTTGGTTTCACTCGCTTTGAAAATTGATAGGAGAGATAGAGCCTGTCCTTCAGAAAGGATAATGAATTACACCGTAAATACAACGTTAAAAGAATGAATATATGCCTCTAACTCGTATAGACAGTGGCTACTTGCCACACACACGCATACACCGACATCGAGGACCCTCAGCCAACCCTCGTTGTCGGTGATTTTTACCATTTCATGCGGTAGATGAAAAACGGAAAAGAACAGAAGTATATTCACGAGGAAAAAAGGAAAAAAGAATAAAAAATCGACTTTTGACACAACAGCAAAACAGAATCTCGAATTCAAACTCCGACATGACTTTGACGCCAGCTCCTTCCCACCAGAACCAAAAAACCCATCCATTTGTGTGAGAAACCCAAATGTTGAAAATCTTTCTCTAAACGGAACTCTTTATTAACAGTCGTGCTCGCGTTTTCTTCATTCCAACTTTTCGTAGCATCGCGGGAGAAAAGAAGACAGATGCCAGCCTGTTGCGGGTTTATTCGGGGCGGAGGATGATTGGGAAAATGGAGGGAAGGCAGACCGAAAGGGGGCGACAAGATCAGCGGTCGGCTAAGGACCTTTCTCTACAGCTGGGATAGAGGTGGGAATTAAAGAAAATTCCCCCCACCACTAGCTACAGATGATAGTTGAGCATGTCGTCTTCCTCGTCGTCATCTTCATCCTCCTCCTCCGTCTCCTCCACATCACCACGCCCTGCACTGGGCCGGCGACCACCGCGACGACGGCAGCACCGGCACCGAGCCGCAGAGGCCTTGGTCACGCCGAAAAACGCCACTAGCCGAAGGTACCTCTTCCTCCGGTCCCGGCGACGTCGGTGGTGGCGGCGCCGCCGGTCGAAATCGCGGCCATCGCCATGGCGAGGCACGCGGTTATATTTGCCAAAAACGGCCGTTTCACTGCTCTTCTTCCAAGAAGAACTGGAAAATGCAAGGTTAGTACGATGCTGAAGAGTGTCATAAGGGGCAGAACTTACGTAGTTGCCCTGGAGCTTCTGCTCCTGGTCCATCTGGGACTGGTGCTTGTTGATACGGGGACGGTAGCTGTTGGGATCGCGACGGAAGGTGACGTCCAAGTTCTTCAAGAAGGTGTTGCAACCAGTGACGAGGGACTCGGGGGAGTTGGCGTGCGCATCAATGGAGGGCTTACCGTCGAAGACGATGACACGGTCAGCCAGGTAGGTGGCCATGATGAAATCGTGCTCGACGATGAAAGCGGTCTTCTTGGTGTGCATGATGAAACGCTTGATGACTCTGGCAGCCACAATACGCTGCTCGGAATCGAGGTAAGCACTGGGCTCGTCAATCAGGTAGATATCAGCGGGCATTCCCAGAGCCAGGACGATGGCGACACGCTGCAATTCACCACCAGACAAGTTCTGAACCTCCTGGTCGATGAAGTCGTCGATCTTGAGGGGCTTGTAGACATCGGTCTGGAACTGGGGCGACAGGAAAGCGGCCTTGATACGCTTGAAGAATAGCTGACGGACGGTACCCTGGAACTTGGGGGTGATCTTCTGGGGCTTCATGCTGATGTTCAAGCGGGGAATGGTGATGCCGTTATCGGGCTTCTCGACACCAGCAAGCATTCTACAGAAAGTGGTCTTTCCGGTTCCGTTTTCTCCCATCATGACAATGATTTCAGAATCGGTGAAGTCACCGGCGTCAATCTTCAGGTGGAAGTTGCCAAGGGTCTTCTCCAGGCTCGGGTACTTGAAGGCACGAGCCTTGTCAACCATGAAGTCATCACCAGCTTCGGCGAGACGGAAAGTGAGAGACTCGTCACGGAACCGAAGGTTCTCAGTGGGGATGTGACCATCCAAGAAGATGTTGATACCTTCACGGACCGAGGAAGGCAGAGTAACGACACCGTAGGCGGCAGGTCTTCCGTAAAGAACGCAAACAAAGTCGGAAAGATAATCAAGCACGGACAAATCGTGCTCGACAACGATGACATAGTCGTCGGGGCGGAGAAGCTCTCTGATGGTACGGGCAGCAGCCAGACGCTGCTTAACATCAAGGTAGGACGAAGGCTCGTCAAACATGTAGCTAGAAGGATGTCAGCGCTCATAATATCTCAAAAATCTGGTCATCCTTACACATCAGCCTGCTGGACACAGACCAGACCAATGGCGAAACGCTGAAGTTCTCCACCGGACAAATGGTCAATGTCACGGTCCTGAACCTGTCTCAGTTCTATGCACTGTCAGCAGAAGATATCGTCGACATGATTAACAATTATCTTACCCAGGACGTCCAGAATGTGGTCCAAGTTATTCAGCTGAGTACGGGCCTTGATGAGCGCACCGACGTTCTTGACGGGTCCCTTGACGGCCTTAGGAATCTGATCAACGTACTGAGGCTTAACAACAGCCTTCAGGTTGTCTTCCAGGACCTTGGTGAAGTAGTCTGTAGATTGTTAGCGCGAATGATTCCATTAATTCCCCTCATTTCATTTTTGACGTACTCTGAAGCTCGGAACCACGGAAGTACTTGAGAATCTCTTCCCAGTCGGGAGGGTTGTCGTAACGGCCAAGGTTGGGCTTCAGTTTGCCGCTGAGAATCTTCAAAGCCGTACTTTTTCCAATACCGTTGGTACCGACGAGACCGAGGACCTGACCGGGACGGGGCATGGGAAGACGGTGAAGCTTGAAGCTGTTCGCAGAGTAACGGTGGGTGACCTGAGTCTCCAAGTTGGTGGGCAGGTTGATGATGTGAATGGCACCGAAGGGACATTTCTTGGGACAGATACCACAACCGATACAGAGGCGCTCGGAGATGAAGGCGATCTTGGACTCGGGGGTGACCTCGATACAGAGCTTGCCCGTACGGACGACGGGGCAAGACTTCTTACATTCCTGACGACATTTCTAGACAAAGAAAAAAGAAGATCGTTAGCAAAATGATGACGGAAAGATCACCAAGAGGTATTAGTAGGGACATACCTTGGGCTTGCACTATGACGAGCAAAGCGATGTGTCTCAGTAGTTGTCATATATGCGACTGGCCGTAGCATGCCTTTCATGCTGCGGGGTATTTGAGACTTACCTTGTCACTGTTGACAATAGCAACTCTGTACACGTAGAATGATTAGCTTACCCTCCTCTTTGTAGATCTGGAGTGAGACTGAAAGTCCGCCGTGTAAAACATACCTGGTAAGCTTGTCGGACATGGTGCCTGAAGTTTAGATCAAATTGAACACGCGGGATAGTATATGTGTATGGACAAAAGTCGAATCCAGCAGTCAAGAGACGGGTACGTCGACGGAAACCGAGGGTCTCGAGGAAATGAGGCGGAAAACGATGCGACAGTTGTTCTGGCCGAACGTGAGAAATGCCAGATATCTGCGCAAAGAGCACCAGGGCAGGAGAAGAGGAGGGACGTTGCTGGAGATGCGCGACGAAGAGGGGCTCTGGGCGAGAAAACTTGCCGGGCATTGTGGGCAGCCGTGGCGGCCTCAGGCTGAGACATGCTCCTGCATTATTTCCTGTCGCAGTGATTGGCCCATGGGCTCTGCCACCGAGACTCGATCGGGATCAGCATTGTTCCGAGCCGGCATACACGTGACTTACCACCCCCGCTATCCCCGTTGGGGTCTCGCTTGTGGCGCGCTAAGCTGTTTCAAGGCTGGTGGGTAGTTGCAGCCTGAAGGCTCAGGCGCTGCAGCCAATCCCTTCACAGCGACTCGTCCTCCTCCCGCCGACGTACAACTCTCTTCCTACTCCCTCATCAGTTTCTCAGCGGCCTCCCATCGTCCCTCTGTTGCCTCCACCAGTTCATCCTCCTTCCACCCCCACCTTTTTCCTTTGACGTTTTCACAATTTATTGGTTCAGCCTCCCCTGAATCGGGGTCACCAAGCTATGGACTGTAAGTAATTTGTTCTCTTCTCCTTGCCTCGCAGGCGTGCTCTGGCACTGCCCGCTGCAGTACTTCTCCACGATCTCGACCCACCGGAGAACCTGTATTATATCTTGATGTGTTCGAGTAAAAGGGGTTTTGTGACCTTTTCGCTCATTGTCTGCGTGGTTTCCTTTGCATTTTCACGGATTTGATCTGCATTTCCCCCTCTGTTCCTCCCATCTCTTCACAACACTCTCCGTCGCGTTCCATCGAATCCGTCATCAAAAACATGTCCTTGCATCATACCTTTATCTCCTACCTTGTTCACCCATCGATTCGACTCAATTCGGCTGGAATCCGCGTCGCGTATGTCTGTTTCATACAACACTGTTCCTTTCGTCCCCCCTCGGGCTTGTGCTGAGCTTCAATGCTGATGCGTATCGTCCTCAATAGCTACTAGCATGGTGATCCCATCAATTTCCGACCCCTCCGCAACAATGGGCTTGGTAAATGGTTATTCGGCCTCGTCTACTCCCAATACTGCCAGCATGAGGGATGACCTAGCCATCAGCGACAGTGGTAGCAACGATTCCGATACTCATGCAAACCATGCCGAACGCGATTCCTCCTCTCCCGAAGCAGACGCCGCCGACGATTCCTATGATGCCGGCTCCCCTGATGCTGAGGGGGACGAGGACGCTTTTGAGACCGAGAATGACAGGAACGAGAGCAGCCAGTCCAGCGATGAAAATTCTTCATCGTCGGAACGCAATCATGGCTACCAGCGTAAGTCACCGTCGGTCAACGAATCGGACTATATGCGACAGAATCCCGATCTGTATGGACTTCGTCGGAGTACAAGAGCGCGCACAACGCGTCAAGTAGTCGACTCCCCTTCCGAATCCGAGTCCGATGCGGTAGCACCCCGCTCAAAGCGTCGACGCGCCGTTGTCTCACAACCGCCCTCCAAGCGGCCCTCCCGGTCTGCAACCCAGTCCTCATACTCTGAAGATTCGGATAGTGATGAGTACGGCGGAAGCCGGGCTCGCACAAACAGGGCGAGGCGGCGAAAACTTCTTCAGTCATCCTCGAACAACCTTCCTTCCCAGCCCGAAGTCCGGTTCTCCACCAGAAATGCGTCCCGGGTCTCTAATTACAACGAGGATGAAGATGATTCCATGTTTGAAGATGACCCGGACGAAGAGATGATGGACAATTACTGGGTCAACACTGTGGAGGATGACCGCCCAGCCGTCGATGTTGTGCTCAATCACCGCCTCAGGGAAGGCGTGGAGTCCAGTAGCCTCGACCTCAGTCGTCATGACTTTGAATTCTACATTAAATGGCAAGGGAAATCCCATTACCACGCGTCATGGGAAATCACCGAAGGCCTCGCCAATTGTCGTAGTACCCGCCGTCTCGACAACTACATTCGCAAAATCCTCTCTGAAGACATCCGGTTGCGAAATGACGAAGACGTCGCTCCTGAGGATCGAGAAAAGTGGAACCTCGACCGAGAACGGGATGTAGATGCTATCGAGGACTACAAACAAGTTGAACGAGTGATCGGTATGCGAGAGGGCGACGAGGGAACAGAGTACCTCGTGAAATGGAAACGCCTCTTCTACGACTCCTGTACATGGGAGGACGAAGACTTAGTCAGTAACATCGCGCAACGCGAGATAGACCGTTTTCTAGACCGTTCCTCTCGGCCCCCGGTCTCTGACAAGTCGGAAACGAATCCAGCTACGCGGAAGCCATTCGAGACCATCAAAGGCACCCCGTCCTTTCTGCAAAATGGTCAGTTGAAGGAATTCCAGGTCAAGGGTGTCAACTTCATGGCATTCAACTGGGTGAAGAACCGCAATGTTGTCCTTGCAGATGAGATGGGTCTGGGCAAAACTGTGCAGACAGTCTCCTTCATCAACTGGCTACGCCATATACGGCATCAACAGGGCCCTTTCGTCGTCGTTGTCCCCCTCTCTACCATGCCCTCATGGGCTGAGACTTTCGATAACTGGACACCTGATTTGAACTACGTTGTCTATAACGGCAACGAAGCTGCGCGCACAGTCTTGCGAGAGCATGAGCTTATGGTTGATGGGAACCCCAAGCGACCGAAATTCAACGTTCTGTTGACGACTTATGAATATGTTCTCTTAGACTCAGGCTTCCTGAGCCAGTTCAAATGGCAATTCATGGCTATTGATGAGGCTCATCGGCTAAAAAACCGCGAGTCGCAGTTATACTTGAAGCTGCTGGAATTCAGATCTCCTGCCCGACTTCTGATTACCGGTACTCCGATTCAGAACAACCTGGCTGAGCTCTCTGCGCTCTTGGACTTTCTCAATCCAGGCTTGGTTGAAATCGATGCTGACATGGATTTGAATTGTGATGCTGCCTCACACAAGCTGGCAGAACTGACCAAAGCCATTCAGCCGTTCATGTTGCGTCGCACGAAGTCGAAGGTCGAGTCTGACCTTCCTCCCAAGACCGAGAAGATCATTCGGGTGGAGCTTTCGGATATCCAGTTGGAATACTACAAAAACATCCTGACCAAGAACTACGCTGCACTTAATGATGGTGCCCGTGGCCAGAAACAATCACTCCTTAACATCATGATGGAATTGAAGAAAGCGAGTAATCATCCTTTCATGTTTCCGAACGCAGAAGCTAGGCTCCTGGAAGGCAGTGCGCGTCGAGAGGATGTACTAAGGGCCATGATTACCAGCAGTGGTAAAATGATGCTCTTGGATCAGCTTTTAGCCAAGCTCAAACGCGACGGTCACCGCGTACTGATTTTTAGTCAGATGGTCAAGATGCTGGACATCCTTGGTGACTATATGGAGTACCGTGGATACACATATCAACGTCTCGATGGAACTATTCCCGCTGCTGCGCGTCGCCTAGCCATTGAACATTACAACGCGCCTGGGAGCAACGACTTCGCTTTCATTCTGTCTACTCGAGCTGGTGGTCTCGGGATTAATTTGATGACTGCAGACACCGTTGTTCTCTTCGACTCTGACTGGAACCCCCAGGCCGATTTGCAGGCGATGGCACGAGCGCATCGTATTGGCCAGACGAGACCGGTGAGCGTGTATCGCCTGGTCTCAAAGGATACGGTGGAAGAAGAAGTCATTGAACGAGCAAGAAACAAGCTTCTCCTTGAGTTCATCACCATCCAGCGTGGTGTAACCGACAAGGAGGCTTCGGAGATTCAGAACAAGATGGCCCGGAGTGGAATCTCTATTGCCGAGCCTAGCTCTACGGACGATATCTCACGTATTCTCAAGCGTCGTGGCCAGAAAATGTTTGAGCAGACCGGCAATCAAGCGAAACTTGAGCAACTGGATATTGACTCGGTTCTTGCCAATGCTGAACTGCATCAGACGGAACAAGCAGAGGGCATCCAAGCTGATGGTGGTGAAGAGTTCCTCAAGGCTTTTGATTACGTTGACATCAAGGTTGACGACCTTAGCTGGGACGATATCATACCTAAAGATCAACTCGAGGAGATCAAAGCAGAAGAGAAGAAGAAAGCGGATGAGCGTTATCTGGCCGAGGTCATTGAGCAGAACCGGCCCCGCAAGCGCAACGTTCCCGGTGATCTCCGGGATTCACGCGAGGAGCGCAAAGCTAAGAGGCAAGCTCGAGCACAAGTCAGTATGGACAACGGCGACGATTCAGACTCAATGGCTCAATCAGACCCGAAACGTCCTCTGGTAGAGAAAGAGTACCGTCATCTTCTTAGAGCGTTCCTCCGCTATGGCGATCTCGCTGATCGCGAAGAGGATATTATTCGTGAGGCGCGGCTGCTTGATCGTGACAGGGAAACAGTCAAAGCTGCTCTCTGTGAGATTACGGACAAAGCGGCGTCTTTGGTCAAGGAGGACATGGCCAAATTGGAGGCTCTTGAGAACTCTGGCAGGACTCCGACGAAGAAAGAAAAGAAGGCAGTGTTGTTCGACCTGCATGGGGTCAAGCGGCTCAACGCGTATACCATCGTTGAACGCCCGACCGAGATGCGTGTTCTGAAAGAGGCAGTGGCTCAGGTCGCTGGCTTTAACAATTTCCGTGTTCCGGACGCGACCAAGGCTCCGGATTACACCTGCTCATGGGGCGCGCGGGAAGATGGCATGCTGTGCGTCGGTATTGCACGCCATGGCTATGGTGCTTGGTCCCAGATCAGGGATGACCCGGATCTTCAACTTGGAGATAAGTTTTTCCTCGAAGAGCACCGCGTCGAGCGCAAGAACGAGCGCCTGAATGCGGAGGACAAAACCACAAAGTCTCCGGGGGCAGTTCATCTCGTCCGGCGCGCGGACTACCTGCTATCTGTCCTTAGAGACCGATCGACGAACGGCGCAAGCATGAGTGCAAGACGAGCTCTCGAGCCCCAACGATCAGGGCGCAAAGGCTCACGCGCCCACGCAAGCAATAGTGTGTCGGCCTCTCCTGCACCATCCATTTCTCGCAAGGGGCATCGCGAGATGGACCGATCCAGACATCGTTCTAAAACCCACGCTAGAGACAGCATGGATAGGCACCATACTCCTAGTCATGATTCCCGTCAGCGGGCCGCTCATGATGGCGACCGACCTCGTCACCGGACGTCGGATGCTTCCAGTGAGGATATTCGTCGCCGCAAGCCCACCGAGAATGGTCACTCTGCAGGGAAAGAAGATATGGAATATAGGTTCTTCAGGCCCATTCGTGACAATTTGAAAAAGGTGTCACTAGTCACCAAGGAGAATTATCCGGACAAAGCACAGCGCGCCCTCGAGCTCCGGCGCCTTCTAGATAAGATTGGCGAATTCATCAAACAGAATCTCGAGGGGGATTTAATGGCTTCTCTGGAGACTCGCCTGTGGTAAGTCAGCAGCCGATCAACACTGTCGCCGCGGGGCTAATTTATTTCTTAGGCAATTTGTCGCAGTCCACTATTGGCCGAACAAAGAGGCAGCAGGTGCCAAACTTCAACAGATGTATCAGAAGCTGAGCGCTGCCAGCAAGCCTGCGGCTCCTGCCCAGCCCAGCGCGCCGAATGGGGAGTCAAGTAGACCTTGATGTTTCATGTCGTCGAATGAGCTGTTGGAACATAAAATGAGGGGATCTTATAGTTGTGGAAGGAGTTTCTTTCATATTCTTTGTTGTCAGTTGCAGGGTACATACATAAGCATTTATTTTTTTGGGCAAGCATGGCGACGGCGTCCGGCATGATCAATCTATGAACGGGTGTTTGTTGTCGAATCCGACCATGAGAGGACCTTCTTACATTTTGATGTTTGCATGGCAATAATCTCCTTTTCTGTTCTTCTATATCTCTTGGTCTGGCTGTTGATGCACTATCTGTCTATCCATGTCTTTGTTTTTTTATCATACCATCATGCCAACTTTAGGAGCGACTGGACACGTTTGTGTTTGAAGCCATGTGTTCAACCAATTATTTCTGCTTGTTCTATTACTTTTCTCTTTCTGCGTTGGTCGTCTCTGATACCTACATATACCTGGCTACCTGGTGTGGAGGGAATGAATTGGGCCTCAGACCATACGATATCACACAACATCTTGTTAAGCTTTCGTCTGGAAAGATGATACAATCGTAGTAATAAGTAGGCAGAGTTACTTTGATACCTACTGGTAACTAGCGTCCCACTGCATGTACTGCGATAGACCGTTTGGTTTCCGACTGCCTTCCAGACCGCCTGACGCGGCAGAACGCTGGCGACCTCGCAACAAAAACCATGGATATAAGCGGATATAAGAAGTTCCAGTCCTGAAAAACTGGCTTGGGAAAGTGTTCAGTTTGGGCGGTGGCAGAAGCGGTGGCAGACAAGAGGGCTGCTGGCCGCCTCGGCTTGCATAACTTACTACCTGCCTCAGTTGACTACTTGCTATAAGTTACACCTACATTACTGGAGGTCGGGCCGATCCGGCAACAACAAGAACTGCGGGGGAATGAATCTCCTCATTCCACTTCCCAGCATCACTACCACACTTCCTGCTTTCCAGGAACGAGTCTGTCCAATTGAACTCCTGCAAATAACGCACGGCAAGCCTAGCCATATGGCTTTGAATTTACCCGAGCCTATCGCGACAGCACCCTGCATACATGAAGCCCCTATAGCGCTGACAGACATGACGTGTTTGTCCATGCGAGTTCTGGTTCCTAGAGGCAAGCAAGAACGCTTCGCTCCTACAAATGCGGGGTCACATAGCCGACAAATATCATAATATGGCGCCCCAGTCCGCGTGCTGTCCTTCCTGGATGTCCATCATCGACTGCAAGTCAAGCTCACCCCTAGTAACGGCTCTTCACCCTCGTCATGAAGCTCCTGACCTCCTGTGCAATATTAGCTTCGGCACTCACTGCCTGCGCCGAATCAGAACCCGGCTACTATGCGAACCTGACATGGGAGCAGCCTCGAACTCTATCCAACTGGAGCAATCTCACCGTTGAGACTCAAACGGGGACATTCATCGGCATGCTGAACGATACCTATCCGGACGTTCGCCAGTTCTTGCTCGTCCCTTACGCTCAGGTAGGGGAAGTCACTCAGTAAGTCCGAGATTGAGTTGACCGAGTTCGATCTAGCCACCGGTAGGAGATCTCCGCTGGCTACCTCCTCAGAAGCTGAAGAAGACGAACCGGAAATTCGACTCGACTCGCTATGGCCCTGCGTGTCCGCAGTACGTCTCTACCTATGACAGCATCTGGACCGAGTATTCGCCAACCGCCCTACTCTACAATCTCGGGGAGACGCGCACTCAGGGCTCCACCGCCTGGTCGACAGCAGAAGATTGCCTGTCCCTGGCCATATGGACTCCAGCATCGGCAAATCGCCGCTCCAACCTCCCTGTGGCACTTTTTGTGACCGGCGGCGGCGGGGTCACCGGCGGCATTGCCATCCCATCCCAACTGCCACCGCACTGGGTCTCGCGCTCTCAGGAGCATATCGTAGTCACGATGAACTACCGAGTCAACATCTTCGGGAGTCGGTGCACCCCGAAATTGTATACAGCCCGTTCGATCGTGCTAACAGCAGCCAGATCCCAAATCCAGAGCCTTGGATGAGACATCACTGACGCTACTCGATGTGCGGGCCGCGGTGGAATGGGTCTATGAGAACATCGAATCCTTCGGCGGGAACAAGGACAACATTATGGTCAGCAATCTCCATCGCCTTGCCGTACCGCAAGTCAACCCTAACACTAACCACCCGCGATAGTTATGGGGCCAATCCCAAGGCGCCGCTCTCACGCATCTTTACACCCTCGCCTTTCCCGACGACCCCCTAGCCGCCAAATTCGGCATCCTCTCCCAGCCTCCCTCTGTCACCATCGACCTCAGCACCACCGACGACGTCTACCAAGATTTCGACATCGTGGCCCAAGCGCTAGGCTGCAACTACGGCCGCGACGCCACCGCCAGTCTAGAGTGCATGCGCAAAGTCTCCTGGGTGCAGATCTCCGAATTCATCAACCGCTACAACGCCTCTCCCTCGATCTCATTCAGCAGCTACATCCGTTAGTTTCCCCCTCCCCGCACCTACCCCATCACCATCTCCCATCCTTCTCTCCTCCTTTCTAATCAAAACGACCTCCAAGCGGACGAGAAATACATCTTCGCCAACGAGACCCAGCGCTACCGATCCGGCCACGTCGCCCGCGGACCGGCCATCCGCTCCAACGTGGACCGCGAATCCGCCAGCACGAACCTGACCGCCTCCGCCCTCACCGAGATGGAATGGAGCTGCGCCACTGCAATGGATGCAGCGCTGCGGAGGGCTATCGGACTAGACACGTATCGGTATTTCTGGGCCGGTATGTTTCACAGCAGCAGCAGCAGCATAATCCAAAAGTCCCCTCCCCTGACTCTCCCGCAACCCCTTCTTCCACTCTAAATAGTACTACGACACCCCACTGACAACAAACGACCCGAAACCAGGAAACTTCACCAACATCTCTCCCACCCCCTGGCTGGGCGCCTACCACTCCTCCGACCTGCTGATAGTCTTCGGGACGTACATGAAGCAGATCGGGGCCGTCCCCGAGCTGGAGGTGCTGACGTCCGAAACGATGCAGGATCATTTCCTCGCCTTTATGAAGGACGCAGCTTCCCTGGCGGAGACGGTGGGGTGGGTGCCGTTCGATCCTGCGGGGGTGGATGGCGGCTCGATTGTTGAGTTTGGGAAAGGGGCTGCCGCGCGGAATGTGACGGGGGATTGGCTGGATAAGGCGTGTACGAGTGGTGCTTTGGGGGATGTGAGGGTTTGGGGGTAGGTTGGTTGGTTGATTTGGTGTTCTCCCTAGGTGGTGTGGTGTGTGGTATGATCGGTTCGTATCTATCATAATAATAAGAGGTTCCATGGCCAAGTATGCGGATATTTCTTACTAGGATTGTGATGGTGGTCCGGGTTGTTGCGCTCGGATGGGCATGGACATTGACTTAGTATCATACTGTTGGGTTACAGGTGATGAGTTCGGAATAACCGATACACTGGTAGCTACAGATTACATGGTCTACACTTGGACTACTGTGGATTGCTACTCTGAACTTGGGAGATTTGACGAACTGAATGATTGGATAATGTGTACAAAATCTCTAAAAAAAAAACAGCATAATCACTTCGTCAAGATAAGGTTCCACCTCACAAAACAAACGAGCAAAGTTCTAAAAGACAGGCAGCCAGCTAGCCAGCCAGACAATTTATGTCCAGAGCTTAGCATCATATCAATGTCCAAAAACAAAACAAAACATATATACAAATCCAAAACACCAATCTAACAGAATAAAACGGTTAAACCAAAAGAATGTTCATCTAATCATATAATGGTGGTAGGTGCAGACGGTATCACTTCCGAGTGGAAACACTTCCCCATTTGGTGAACCGCTTCGCCAACGTGACAGCCTTGCCCAGAGAGGTCCAGCTTCCGCTCTTGATCAGCGAAGCGGTCCGCTCCTCATCGGAGATCGGGCTGGCAACCGAAGGAAGGGTCCCATCGACTAATTGCGGTTGCGGCTGCTGCTTGTGGTGCTCGGCCATGACGGCCAACTGGCCCAAGAAGGTGTGGTGCTCCAGCAGGTCCTCGAGACGGACCTGGAAGCCTTCTTGTTGCAGGATCCAGACCACCTGCGCCATGTTCATGATGTCGCCGCCGAGGTCGAAGAAGGACGAGTCGAGCTGATAAGCGGCGGCGGCGGCGGTGTGGGAGCCGGACGCGGTGCGGCGCGGGAGCACCTGCTGCCAGGTCCGGGTGAGGATGTCCGAATGAATGAGGATCTCCTCCTTGCTGCGTGTGTTCAGGCGGGACAGCTGGAAGGTCGTGTCGGAGGAGCGTGGCGTATCGTGGATGACTTGGCTGGGTAGGGAGCGGACGGTGGACGGGGAAGCGAGCGGCACGCTGGGATTGGCGATCAGGCTCTGCACTGTCTCGCAAACCATCTCCAGGGCCTTTCGCACGAAGCTGGAGGTAATGGGTCCCTTGGTCGAGTAGCCGACTGACACGTCGAGCTTCTCGGATCCGCACGACTTGGACGCCAGCGTGAGATCGGTGAAATTGTCGATGACACCCACGCCGCCCATCCGGTAGTCGACACCGTCCAGCTGCATTTGGCCCTCGTAGTCGACGTTCTGGTGAAACACGGAGGTCGTGAAATAGGTGCTTTGCGGCCAGTCGGTGCAGTTGCGGATGATCTCCCGGAACCCGAGCGATTCATACGGCATGTTAGCAATCTGCTGATCCTGGAGGTAGCGGAACAGATCGATGCCCGTCCAGTGCTCCCGGAATTTGACCCTGATCGGCAGCATGTTGAGACAGGGTCCAACGGTGGTCTCGATACCGGGGACGCCGGCGTTGCGACCGTTGACAGTGAGTCCGAAGACAACATCAGATTGGGCAGTCAGCTTGGCTAGGGTAATGGCCCAAGCGGATTGCATGACCGTCGCGAGCGTGACATTGCCCGTGGCGGTGGATGGAAGATTGATGGTCTTCTTGTGCTCCGCGAAAGAACCGATATGCAGGAAAGTGTTGGGTTGCGTACGGTGGATGATCTCGGTCATCTTTGAGCCCTTCAGGATCGTAGACCAGTGGTGATAATGGGCTGGGGTGATATTGCCAGGCAGCATCCGCATGTAATTGGAGAAAGAGAAGACGGGAGGTAGGGTGCTGCCCTCGTAGCCCAGCTTGATAGCATTCATGATCTTGGGCAGGCAGACACCGTCAAATTGAGCGTGGGACATCCGGATGAGGATGCGGTGGTGGTCGCTCTTCTTCTGCTTGACAATGTAGAACTGCACGTATTGCTCTCCTTGGCGGGGATCTTGTTCGCGATCCCGCTTCTGGAGGTCATCAGTGTATTCATCAAGGCTCTTCTCCGTCTCATGAACGATAATCTCAGGGTGGATCTTGCGCAGAACCACCTGGTAGAACTGTCCCCGATGGACAACGAAGACGGTGCGCAGGATGTCGAACGCGTCAACAACGCGCAGGAAGCTCTCTCGGAGTCGTCTGATGTCCAGTGGGCCGTTACCATCCAGGAAGAAGTAGTTCAGCATCCACCTGGACCCGAACAGAGTGGCGGCGATCGATAGCGACTGGAAATCGGTGACGGGGAGAACATCCGCAATGCCGCCCTTGAAGACACCAATCTTGGGACAAATCGCATCCTGAAGAGACATCACATCGAGGTCCACGGGACGTGGCATCATGGTCTTCTGCTCAACCTGGGGGATATCCGTGATTTCAGTCTCGAGCAGCTTCTCGATGTTGTTTTCGCCCTGTGTCTCCGCATCGGAGGTCGGGCTGCTGCGAGGTGTGACGATAGCAAGCATGTCTTCGAATACAGGGTTGTTGAAAACATCTGCTACGGTCAACTGCAGTCCTTCCTCGCGAGCAGCGCTGACCATCTTCATCGCGGTGATGCTATCTCCACCAAGCTTGAAGAAGCTATCGCGGTAGCCGACGTTGTCGGATTTGAGGCCGAGGGTCGATTTCCAGAGGTCCCAGAGACGTCTTTCGGTGTCACTGGAGCTTGATCCATCGTCTGTCAGGGAAGGAATCGAATCCGACAGATCATTTTCGCCTGCATCAGGGTCGCGGATGGAAGCCTCGACCATTTTGAGGTGAACGGCACCATTGGAGTATCTTGTCTCGCTTCTTTGCACGAGGGGAACAGAGAGCTTCCCTTCCTTGAGCATATTGCCAATGATCTCGTTCACACGGCTGTCAATGAACTGCTGCAGGGCATAGTTGTCGATCAGTTGATCTGCGATGAGAGGGCCCTTCGTGAATTGAGAGGCAGGGCGTAGATTATGCAGACCCAAGTCCGCAACGAGCCTGGACGGCTTCTCAATAAAGCATGTGAAGATCTTAGCAATCGCATCGGATAGATCCTTGGCCTGGGTTTCGGTCACGGAGTCGGACCAGTATCTCAACAAGACACCCTCCCGACCTTTAGTCGTCTCGACGTTGACGGTCACCGGGTACTGTTGTCCTGTTAGCACTGTTCTGTATTGTGTATCAAAATAACTCACCTCAGTTGGGTCGTAGGCCTTTTGCATCTCGAAGCCGATCGATCTGTTGGCAGCATCCTTATTGGCAGTACGGTTCTGAATCGAGAGAGTCGTGTTAAAAAGCGACTTTCCGTGCCACCCAAGTTCGTGCTGAATCTGAGCCAGGGAGCAGTGCTGGTAAGGGATATTATTCATGAAATCATCCTGCACCGTCTTGGCAACCTCGAGAAGTGACTTTTCAGGGCTGAACTTGACTCTGCAGCACAGCATGTTGATAAAGATACCCACGGCGTCCTGAATCCCGGGGACAGGGGAGTCACGACCAGCGGACGGGTAGCCGAAGCAAACATCATCCGAGCCCGTGTAGCTCTGGAGGACGATTGCCCAAGCACAGAGTGTCAGGTTCGCAAGAGTGATCGAGTGCTGCTCACAGAATTTCTGCAGCTCTGAGAAGCGTGTGAAGTCCATGAAGCGCTCGCCGAGCGTCCGAGTGACGTTGGTAGCACCCGATAATTGCAGATGGCAGGGCTGAACACCGGAAAGATATCTCGTCCAGTGATCCAGTGCCTCGGTTTGAGTCTGACCTTTGATGTACTTGATGTATTCGCTGAAAAGAGGTCCAGAGCCTTCAGGAAGTTGATCATTGTAGGCCATTGTCAGGTCTCTGAGGATCAGGTCCACTGACCCACCGTCGATTATGGCATGGTTCATGTCAATCTTGAAAAGAACACGGCCGGAAGAGGTGGTACAGATGCTCACTTGGTGTGTAAGCTTAGTCGACCTTTTGGCATTGATATCACGGAGCTTGATAGCGTCCATGGTTCCCAATGCCTCTGCATCTTCGCATTCGAACTCAATGACCTCGTCCTCAAGCTTCTTCGTAACCACCTGGTCAAACGAGCCGCCCTTGTAGTTGCTGTCGATAAAGACAGTTCTAAGAACAGGATGACGGCTGACGACCATAGACCAAGCTTTGCGAAGCTTCTTGGCATCAATCCTATTACCCTTATTTTGGGGACGCACTTCGAAGATAACGTTGAACAGATATCCTTGTGGGTCTCTCAGCTGGCTAAGCAGGATACCTTCCTGCACCGGAGAACAAGGGTAGACATCTTCAACATCGTCCCAGCTCTCAACGCCGGCCTTGGGGAAGGCACTCTTGACCATGTTGCTCAGGCCTTGATAGGTAATTGGCAGCAAGGGGTAATCGCTAAGTGTTGGCTCAGGTGAAGATTCTCGGAGGCGGAGCATATCCTCCTGGAGAACACGCTTGCATTCGGAAATCCACCCATGGATACGTGGCTGGTGCTGCATGTGGCAGTTGTAGGTGAACGAGATCTGGAGTTGGTCTTTGATGATGAGTGCTGTAATCTCAAAGAGTGCGAAACGGGGCGTTTTAGGACCCATGTCGCCTGCCACCTCAAATGTCTTAGCATTGAGTGCTTCTCTGTGATGCTTGAAAAGTGCATCGTCACGCTCAAGTTGCTGCAGCTGGCCGAGATAGTTGAAAAGAATCTCGAGCGGAACCGGGAAGTCGGACGCGTTCTTGTGCAGAAGGTTCTCAGCGAAGTAAGGTCGGCTGCTGCTAGAAATTTGACGTCTCGTATCCTTGACATGCTTCAGAGTATCAAGGATGTCTGCAAGACAGTAAGTATTACCATCGCAAAGGGGTAAGGAAATGAACTGACCTGTGCTTCCATCTATATGCAAAGGACACATAGTTGTGAACCAGCCCACAGTTCTGGAAAGGTCAATGGAGGAATCCCA